CCTGCTAACAGCCTGGCAAAGCAGTGGAGGATGGCTCAAGTGCTTGGGACCCTGAACTCATGTGGGAGACCCGGAAAAATCTCCTGGCTTCCGCTTGATCCAGCCCTGATGGTTTCATCCATCTGGGAAGTGAGCCAGCAGATGGAAGATATTTCTCATTTCTCTCTCTGCCTTTCAAATAAATAAATAAATAAACACATACATGCTCCACTGTGAATATTAGCCCACAGACATTTTGTACACTTATCTGATTAGCTCTGCCAAGTAAACAACCCAAATTGGAGTTGTACTTTTTAATTATTTATTTTTATTTTAAAAGCAGATTTACAGAGAGAAGGGAAGATAGAAAGATCTTTCATCCACTGGTTCACTCCCCAAATGGCCGCAACGACTAGAGCTGAGCTGAGCCAAACTGAAGCCAGGAGCCAGGAGCTTCTTCTGGGTCTCCCATGTAGGTACAAGGTCCCAAGGCTTTGAGCCATCCTTGACTGCTTTGCCAGGCTGTTAGCAGGGAGCTGGATGGAGAGTGGAGCAGCTGAGACATGAACCAGCACCCACAGGGGATGACAGCACTTGTAGGTGGGAGATCTAGTCAATTGAGCCATCACACTGGCTCTGGAGTTGTTTTCTCATATAAAATCACAATGTATGCATGATTTGAAATGAAGGCAATGATCCTGAAATAATCATATAGTGAAAAAAATAATTACAGATGCTGTTTTCATGAAGGCAGTGGGTGTGTATCCATAGGGAATCTACACATTGCAGAAGCATTCATGTGACTGTCCTTCCACGTAGGAGACCCAGAGTGAATCAGGGGATGGAGACCTCTGTCTCTGCCTCTCTCTCTGTCAATCTGCCTTTCAAATAAAGCCTTAAAAAACAAACATAATGAAAACAAAACCAGAATTTCAGGATTGTCTCCGCGGTTATTTTCTGATGTTCCTAGACCGGCGGCCAAAGTCTCCTTGGGGCTGTATCTCAGCATGCCTTCCTCCTCCACCCACTCGTGGCGCCTCCTTCTCGCTTGACCTTTCGCGTTCCTCCTGATGCCCCAAGACATTTTCCCTACGCTCCGGACAGAACTCGTCTCTTGGTTCGTTCTCTCTCTCTCTCTCTCTCTCTCTCTTTCCTTCCCCCCAGTCCGGTCCCCTGACTGCTCCTCCAGCAGAGACTGCTATCATCTCGCGTCTGTTGTATGTCTTTTCAAAGAAGATGTGTTCTTGTGAAATGCGTGCTGCGTTGTGTGCCCGTGTTTGGGTTTTCATAAAGGCGGGGGCATGCTTCCCTCACTACCCGCCAGGAGGATTTCCTCAGGATGTAGTCTGAGGAGAGGGCTGCTGCGTCCTGGGGCGCGCACTCTCAATCTGACGCCAGATCAGGCCTCTAGACGGCCACCTCCGCCTGCACTCCGTCTTTCAGTCCAGGAGGTGGCAGCTGCAGACGCTGGCCCATGCGCTGAGTCATCTACTCTCAGAGGAGGAGACCGATCTGGGGTGGGTACTGGACACAGACAGTAGTCATTGCTTGGGACCCCCCTGACTTTTGGGGGGATTTTGAGCAGGGACCCAGTGCCTATCTGGCTTCCAAATTAAAAAAAGAAGAAGAAAAGAAAACAACAACAACAACAAAAAGCCAATCTAATAAACACTAGGTGGTGTCTCGTTTTTTGCTTTACTTTTCATCTTTTCAATGACCAAGGAGTTGCATTGCTTAATCTTTTTGTCCACCTATAGGTCTCATGTTTCTTTTTTCTTTTCTTTGTTAAGATTTATTTATTTTCATTGTAAAGTCAGATATACAGAGAGGAGAAGAGACAGAGAGGAAGATCTCCCATCCGCTAATTCATTCCCCAAGTGACCACAACGGCCGGAGCTGAGCCAATCCGAAGCCAAGAGCCCAGAGTCTCTTCTGGGTCTTCCACACAGGTGCAGGGTTCCAAGGCTTTGGGCCATCCTTGACTGCTTTCCTAGGCCACAAGCAGGGAGCTGGATGGGAAACAGGGCTGCCAGGATTAGAACCAATGCCCATATGGGATCCTGGTGTGTGCAAGGCGAGGACTTAAGCCGCTAGGCTACCACACTGGACATGGGTCTCATGCTTCTTAAAATGCTCATTTATCTCCTCTGTCTACTCACCTATTGAGATCTTTTCTCTTGGTCATTTGACAGAGCTCTTTGTATGTTTTAGATACTATTTTTGCTTTTGCTTTAAGCATTGTGAGAATCTTAGCCCAATCCTTATTATTTTTTTTTTAGGGATTTATTCATTTAAAATAGTTGAGGGAGAGAGGGAGGGAAGGAGGGAAGGAGACAAAGAGAGAGAGAGAAGAGAGAGAACATTTATTCATCTGCTGGTTCTCTCCCCAAATGGCCACAATGACCAGGGCTGGTCCAGGCTGAATCCAGTACTCAGTCCCAAGCACTAAGACCCCTTCTGCTGCCTTTCCAGCTGCATTAGCAGGGAGCAGAAAGGGAAGTGGAGCACCAGAACTCAAACCAGTGCCCATACAAGATGCCAGCGTTGCAGGCAGTGGACCTAACCTCCCTCTGTCATTTTTTCAATTCATCTGCTGGTTCACTTCCCAAATACTTGTAATAGTCAGGACCTGGCAGGGCCAATGCCAGAAGCCCAGAACTTGGTCTGTGTCGTCCATGGGAGTGACAGGGATCCAACTGCTTGAGCCAACACTTGCTGTCTCCCAAGATGCATAGCAGCAGGCAGCCGGGTCAGAAGTAGAGTGAAGCTTCACACCCAGGCTTCCAACATGGGCTGTGGGTGACTTAATCATTGCACCGAACACCTGCCCCCAAGACACTTTTTTAAATTACTTGTGACAAACTCACGTAACAAATTTAGTCCAGTATGCGGCTCTGTGGTAATGAGCATGTTCACCTTCTGGTGCAACTGAACTCTTTTTGCCTGGCAAAATTTCAACTCCATACCCAGTAAGCAGTAACTCTTCACCCTCCTGTCTCCTGCTGTAGGGCTTTTATATATTGCCTTCATTATATTTAAGCAGTTTCATTCTACTTCTAATTTATTAGGAGCTTTTGAAATCTTACATGTGCTTTTTCTGTTTTAGTGTATTAATGTGCACTGATGTCATTTCTTTTACATGTATGTATATGTAAGTTCTAATGTCAAAATTTCATTTCTGGCCTCAAATTGACTTGACCATTATGTGACATTTTCTTAATACTTTTGGTGAGTTTGCTCAACTAGTACTTTACAAAGGAGATTTGGGTCTGTTTTCATAAGTGAATGGAGCTATTACTTTCTTTTCAGGTATCGTTTGTGCTCCTTGTCTGATTTGGGACACAGCTTTTTCAAAATTAAGTACTTATGCAAAGTTTATTAAAACTCATGATTAAAGTCATCAGATGTGGGCTTTATATTTGAAAGTCTCTCCTTCCCTATGACTTCTTTAAACAAATAAATAAACCTTCTAAGAAAAGAAAAAAAAAAAAGGAGCAACACAGAAAGATCTTCCACATGTTGGTTCACTCCCCAAATGGTCATGCTACTCAGGACTGGAGCCAGGAACTCCATCCCAGTTTTCCATGTGGGTACCAAGCATTCAGGCCATCTTCTGTTCTCTTTCTAGGCACACCAGCAGGGAGCTGGATCAGAAGCGGTGTAGCTAGGATTAATGTAATGTATTGCAATGCTGGCATTCTGTATGGGTTGGTTTGTGTTCTGATTGCTCCATTTCTGACCCAGCTCTCTGCTTATGGCCTGGGGAAAGCAGTGGAGAATGGCCCAAATATGTGGACCCTGTACCCACATGGAAGACCAGGGTGGAGTTCCTGGCTCCTGTCTCATATGAGAAGCTGGTAAGGCAGGCAATGAATTTATTCACTATGCCGCAGTGCTGGACCCAATCTTTACTATTTCTTCTTTAGTTTTTAGAAAGACTCAAAGAGGAGAAATCCATCTAACTTCTGTGAGGTAGAAGCAGGATGGGTAGAAGCATGGTGGCTCCTCAGGTCTGAGACTCGGGCCACTTCTCCGGTCCTGCCTCCCTTAGACCAGGAGCCCAGGCAAAGCAGACACCTGCGGCCACCTGTTGGCTGTGGGCAGAGGAAGTATGAACCAGGACCACCGGCCAAGTTTGACCATTCAGCCGTTGAAATGTGGCTTGTCAGAATTGAGATATGCAATAAGTTAAAATGTACAGGTAATTTTAATGGTTGGTATCCCAAATTATAAGCTCAGTAAATTTTCAGATAAATTAAAGGATACTATTAGACCCACTGGCTTACACTGAACATGCTGTCTACCTTAGCTTTCTTTATTCTTTTCTTAATATGGAGGCTGGCCAGTGGTGTCATACGCAGTAGCAGAATGACTGTACTCGCACACACCGATGTGTGCACCGACGAGATCTGAGGTTTGGGGGACACAGGTTGCTTAACTGGCTTCATTTTGTGGGGACGAGAGTCAGGTAGGGACTCAGCAAGCGATTTCTCTAAGTAAAATGAGTTCTGGTTCTTCCCTAAGAAGCCACAGGCAGCAATTCAGGAAACTAGTCCTCACAAAAGGGGGTCCTCAAAGAATTCTTGGGGGCGGCACCGAGGAGCCAGGGAGACCCAGCCTCCATCACGTGAGAGGAGGCACTGGTTCGTGATTGGCTACTGCGTGAAACCCGAGGGTATAGGGTGTGACATTTAGCAAAGCCAAGCAGGCTGGGGGAGACCTCTGCAGGTGATTCCTAGAGCAATGTCCCCCCAAACTCCCAAATAAAGACTTGAGGCCCTTCTACTCTGACAGGCAGTGTCAGCTTCTCCAGGCCCCACTGCGTCTGGGTTTGGGGCTGTGCTTCGTCGCCTAAGTGCAACAGAGGAGCTCACAGTCCTGGGCGCCACAGCAGCTCCTGCTCTTCTTGGCTTCCTTTCCAGGGATCTTCCGGGATTGGCTGTCCAGGGACTGGGAGCTTGCAGGCCTGGAGGGTAGCTGAGTCAAGAAGCCAGAAAGGGGTCCCAAGCAGGAGGCAGGTCATGGACCCCACCGAGGTGGCTCTGACAGCCCCACCTGGCACTGCAGTGCCCCAGGAGCTGCTGGCTGAAATGCTTTGGTTTTTCCGCATGGAAGATGGTGAGTGGCAGAGGGCTGCGGTGGGGATGGAGTGCATTCCCTGGACAACCCCTCTGCTCTGGATACCCATCGCCCCCACCCGCCCAAGGCAGGGACAGACTGGGCGGCAGGGGCTCACACTGCGGCCACTTTTTACCTATGGGATGCTCACTCATTTACTCAGTCCCCCAATCATTATTGTGGCTACTTATTAAGCTTCTACTATGTACCAGGCAGTGTTCTCTGCGTGGGGGAATAAAATTTCAAAACAAAAAACAAAACAAAACAAAAAGCAACAACCCCCCCTCCCATTTCTGCCCTCCCAGAGGAGAGAAGAGGCACCAAAATAAGTGACTGAAGTACATGGGGAGTGATCCCAAGTAAGGGAGAAAAATCCACCAGAGGAGGAGGAGGAAGTGTGAAGCAAGGGCTGATGGTGGGAGAAAATGTCCTTTAACAGACTGGCAGGATGTGAAGGTGCAAGTCTCCTAGATTAGCTGGGGGACAAACATTTGTGGCAGAGGGGCCAGCCAAGGCCAAAGCCCCACGGCCAGCCTCTGCTGCAATCCAGGGAGATGTGGCCAAGTCTTCAGGAGCCAAATCCAGACCGCCTGCGTTCACTCGGGCAGTTATTTAGCCAGCTTTGGAGCGGCCACCTCCCTCCCAGCCTCCCTCTCTCTCCAACCCCTGTGGCTGGCTCTGAAACTGAAGATTGTGACTTTTGTCTTGACCCGCCTTGTCCCTTCCCACTCCTGCCTTCTCTTCCCATGGTTACCCCACTGCCCCGTCAGATAAGGACCTCTCCGGGGCCAAGATCCTGTCTTCCCCTCTCCCACCCCCAACATCCCTTTCCATCTAGAAGTTCCTCAAGGCCCAGGGGCTCCTCTCCACCTTGTTTGGGGTCTTCACAGCAGGGGACAGCTGAAGGAGGCTAGTGGCTCAGACTCAAGGCCCTGTTCTGTATGTCCCTCCCCAGCAACCCCTTGGAATTACTCCATCCTCGCCCTGACAGTGGTGGTGGTGGGGCTAAGCATGTTCCTCCTCATAAGAAACATCCAGGGCAACAGGTAAGGAGCTGGCCTGGCGGCGGGGTACGAATGGGTAAGTGGGGTGGGGGACCTGCCTTCCCAGAAGGAAATATAGGGAGGTGCTGTTCAAGAACTTGGCTCTCCACTCTTTGGGGGCAGCAATATACAGCTTCAGAATCCCAAAGCTGTTTAAAAATGCAGCAACTGGGCATCCACCCATCCAGCCCTGGCTGGCAAGCTGGAGTATAGCTGTTGAAAACATGGTCCTTGCCCCTCACAGTGTTCAGCAGATATCCCCTCCAGCAGGTGAATTCAAGGATGAGGTGGCTGTCCTGTGGCACAGCAGACACTGATCTGTTCCCTCTGTGGTCCATGCAGGTCCTCTGAGCAGCCAGCTCTTCCTGAGCTGAGTACCCTAGGTACCTCGAGAAAAACCAATGTGGAAAGAGGATAGGCAATGTGGGAGGAACAAGAAGCAGTGCCGAGCTGAGGACGTGGGCTGTGGGGGTCACTGATGTGATGCGTGCAGGTTAGGGTTGGAGAGGCGAAGCTGGGGTTGTGTGCAGGCTGGCCTGGGGAGGCCATATTGCTAGTTAGGAGTTTCCTACACAGATCGCAGGTAGTGGAGACAGTGTTGGGGACCAGAGATTATTGTAGTTTGGTGAGAAGAACCCAGGATTCAGAGTCAGGAGACTTAAGTGTCTGTCCCATTTAAGTGTCTGTGCTTCTTTGGTTTCCTGAGCCCCCTTCGGTCACCTGTCAGGGGAGAGCAGTGCTACGGATAGCATGAGCCACTGCACATGTGGTTGCAACATCCAGCTCTCCCTGTGGCTCCTCTCGTGGCTCCCAGATTGTGGAGGACTCCCCAAGAAACCCTCTAACTCCCTGGGGAGACCCGGTCCCACACCAACCACAAGATCTCCCTCCTGCCCTGCTCCCCTCAACCCTGCCCAGGAACCGAAAGATGCAGCAGCTGGAAAAAGCAGCTCCGGAAGCCCTGTACTTAAAAGAGGTCAAATCTAAAGATGGCAAGAACAGGAACAACCTTAGAGAGTCTCTGCTCTCAGAAAACCTCAACTGGGCCCCAGGGGAAATGGAATTTAAAGACAGCACTGAACCACCAGGCTTTCTTCGAGACTCAGTGGAAACGGCCAGCTGAGGGGCGTACAGAGAACATCCGGGTCCCAATCAGGAGTGAATTCAGCTTGGCGGCTCCTAACTCCCCAGGCCTTACAGCCTTCCCAAGCACCCAAGTGCTTCTGTGAGCAGCCTGGAATTAACACAAAATTCTGTTATTTAAAAAAAGAATCTTTTATTAAAATGTTTCTGGCAGTGCACAGTTCGAGTTGCATAATTTGTTCAACTGGTGGTGGCATGCGCGTGTGCACACACACACACACCCGTGGTTTGGCGCACAAGTGCACAACCTCCTGACCTGGCCTTGTGCGGGTTAGAAAGCCTGGTCGGCATTCAGCATAGGTGGTGAGGATCCCCCACCTTTGACCTCAGCCTTTCCATCTATAAAATGGGATGGAAGGCTACGTGAGAAATGTTTTCAGTGCAGGCTCCTGAGGTGGTGGTGGTGGAAAGGAGTAAGACTCTGAGCTCAGAATCTTCCCTCAGAGCTCTCTCCTGCACCTGCTGATTTGCTCATAATCTATGAGACATTTCCTGTGGACTAGGTTCATAGTAAACAAAGTTAGAAAACTATGGCTTCCCCTGCCTGTCGCAGCCTTCTGCCAACATTGGGCTCCTAGGGTAGAGTGTAGGGGTGTGTCTTGGCCCCAAACCTAGAGCCAGGCTGCTGGGACATAAACCGTGATTAAAAAATGTGCTGTATTGGCCCCAAATGCTTTAGGTTCGATCTTACAAAAGTAGGTATTGAGCACTGGAACCTATGACCAAGGGCACTACATCCTGCCCAGTCAGACCACAAACAGGTAGGGTGTGTTTCTGCCTACAAGTGGGCAGGTTCAGTGTACACACAACAGCGGAGTCACCATCACCGGAGAGAGAACAAGGCTTTTCTGCAGCTCCTCAGGGTCCACGGACAGTCTCCTCCTTCTCTCCTAGGAGGCAAACTTCCAGAACTACACCTGCCCTGGACATAAGACCCATCCGGCAGTCAGGTGGCTGTTACGTTACTGTAAGCAGATTTTCCTTAGAAAAACTGCCATCTGCAAGCTGCCCTGTCTTTCATGTCCAAACGGTGGCGCTATGACACCAAGGCCGAGCTCAGGAGCCAAGCCCAAGTGCACGCGGCTCTGAAGGTCTCGACCACCGTGAGCTGGGGCCCCTGAGGAACCACCAGGCTGGAGCTGGAGCAGCAGGAGGTCATAGCGGCAGGAAGGACACTGCCTTTCGCTTCCTTTCGCTCAAGGCTGACCCCAGCTCTCTGGGTTGCAGCAGGGGCTATTTCCCTGCAGAATTTCAGAGGGAGCAGCTGTTCCCACGCTGACCAAGGGCGAGGGATCAGCGCCTCTGTTTGTCCCCGCGGTTCACACAGTGACCTGTGGGTAGGACGCTGCTGATGGCTCTGCTGGGTGCTGGAGGCTGGCTCAGCTGTCGTCCAAAGGCCAGGCGCTGAGCCAGCCTCCCGGCCCTGCAGTCCCTTGCAGGTTCCCACCAGCTCCTGGAGAGGAGTGTTCAGAAGATCTTAAAGCCCTTCAGGAGGGTCAGGGTGGGAGCCTTGCGCTTGCTCTGGGCGCGGGACGACTTGACTGTGACCAGCTTGGCCTGGGCCACGGCGGGCATCTCCTTCAGGCTGACGGTGGACAGAGTGTTGAGCGTGCAGCTGGCCAGCCCGTGCCGGGCGGTGAGCGGGGCCTGGTGAGGGAGCAGCGCCCGCTCCTCCGAGATGAAGAGGGGCCGGGCTGGGGCGTTCTTCTCCAGCTCCCTCCTTGCCTCCCGTACCGCTTCGTGGAAGACGTGCTGCACATGCTCGAAGTCCAGGCAGGCGGAAACCTCGAAAAACAGGCATCCGAACCTGCCGGCCAGGGCTGCGCCCTCCGCCTGGGTGACCTGCCTGGGGTGGGGTGGAGCGGGGAGGCAGAGCATCAGGGCTAAGCTGTCCGCACTCCTGGCGGATCCTGCCCTGCGCCTGACTCCCCACTCACTAGCTGGGTGGCCTGGCACCCTGGTCATCTCTCTGAATCCCAGTTTTCTCATTAGAGCAATGGCACAATGACACCTGTCTCTTGGGATTGGTTGAATTAAGACAATTTGTGCACCTGCAGAACACAGCAGGTGGTCCTTGACTCCAAAAGGCCCCTGTGGCTAAAGGAAGAATGCCTTGCTAGCCCATGCCTCCTCTGACAATGCGGATTTACCCTGGCTAGTGGGATCAGCCCTATAGAGAAAGACAGGGATGTGACAGATCGTGTGTGCCTCAGGCTTGTGGGTGGCAGAGTGCTCATGGGAGGGCCAGGATGGGCAGGCTAACAGCATGGACTGGTCAGAGTGGGGTGACTGAGGAGGAAGGAGCCAACAACACCTGCTTCAGGTAGGTCCACACCGCCTCCTGGGATGCGGGATTGAATATGGGGGTTCCTGGCCCTTGGAGGAGAAGGAAGAGGAAAGAGAAGAAGGAGGAGGAGGTTGACTTGCGGGTATGGCAGCTTCTAGAAGGGAGAGGAAGGTCGCCAGGGTCTTGAAGTTCCATTGGTTGAATCTTCCTCATCACCACCCTCCACCATTCTTTGGGGAGGGGCGGGTACGGCACGGCTGGTGAGTTAGGACAATGGCACCAAGGGTGGGAAAGGTGCAGGAGGCTGGAGTTGGGCTAGCTGCCCAGGCTACTGCTCCATGCAGGTGGAATGAGATGCGGGCATGGAGGTGGTGGGAGTATCCGAGGGAGCCAGATATGTGGGGAAAGGGACCTCACAATCTGCTGTTAGAGCAGTTTGAATCTGCAGCCCTGTCACGGTGGGAACGTGGTGATCTTTCAGCAGTGAGGCAGCTGAGCATGCCGGCACTGTGAGAGTGGGTGCGTGGGCCAGTAACACTGTCCCGCTCCTAATTTCGCTGCAGCCTAGTGAGCCTCGGACTTGTGGCTTAGGAACCACTACTCTCACTTGCCTTTCGCCTTCTTAGCTCTAGGTGCTCATGGAGGTCATGGCCTGTGCTTGGCTAAAACATACACTGTGTGTATCCTCAAATCCCACCCCAGGAATCAGGATGTTGCCCAGAAGGAAGCTGGCAACTGGGCAGCTCCTGTGGTTTCGTCTGAGCCCTCATCATCATAGCTATTTGTCCCTACACCACTTGGGAGTGATCCCTTTTGGAAAGACTTGGGTTAGAACAGGGGTTTGTGGTTTCTCTCTGTCTCTGAGGTTGACTTGCTCACAACCCAGGCTCAGTATGTCCTCAGAGCCCATCTCCCGTGGCTTTAACCCCATTCTGCTCCCCGCATTTGCTGAAAGATGGCTTGTCTACACACCCAATGGCTTGGGAGGTCCCATCCTGTGGTCTTTTCTCACGGGACCACCTCACCCTCCCTTGCTAGATAAAGGATCCCACCAAAGGAAGAGTCTTGGCTATCCCAGTCAAGAGGCCTTTAGGGGCCAGGGAAAGCCATAAGCAAGTGGACTGGCTGCCCAGAAAGTGGGTTCAGGGCTGCAGGGTCTGCCAAGGGCAGACAGCAGTCTCAAATGTCTGAGGACCAGGCTGGCCACTGGAACGCATGGACAGGCTGGAGTGGAGTGGCCTTCAAGGCAAGGTCTGAGGTCAGCTGGAAGGAGCAAGCCCTACCTCACAGCATTCTAGTTTCAGATCTTTTCAGGCACTGTGATCCAGCCACTCTTCTCTGAGCTCCCCTCTGGCCTAGTCTGTGACTGCTGCCTCAAGTCCAACCCTTCACTCAGCACAGCCAGCGGTGGGAGGGAGCTGGGGGGCAGAGTTTGAGTGTTGATTGGACTCGCACAGACACCGGACCCAAGGAGCCAATCAGAGCCTCTCTCTGGAATTAGAATTGAACATGAGAGGAGTGAGTCCCTGAGTGGGCCTGGAAGGTCAGGGAGACCCAAGCCAGAAAGTACAAGGCCATGAGAGATTACAGAGTAATCTTGCTCTTGACTTTCAAGATCCAGCCCCCCAGGTAGCTCAAATTCCCTTTTCTTCCTCTCTATGTTCCTCTCCTACCTACAAGGGCATTCTAGTTTGGAGCAGGAGGCAGTCCCTGCAGTCCCCCGACCCCTGAGAGATCGCATGCTCACCGGTACTGGGCCATGTCCAGCTTGTTGCCCAGCAGCAGGGCGGGGAAGCCACGCTGTGTCTCCTTGGCGTGCAGGGCCAGCAGCTCCAGGTAGCCGCTGCTGCCCTCGAAGCTCTGGCGGCTGTCCACGCTGTACACCACCAGGAAGGCATGAGCCCAGTTCAGGTAGCGTTCGCAGTTCCTGGGGGTGTCCTGGGTGAAGAAGAGAAGCCCCTCGCAGGGGCAGGGAAGGGGGTAAAGGCCTTCACCTGAGCTGCACTCCCACCCTCCCACTCCCACGTCTGCCAGCTGCTTGCTTCCCCAGGATCTTTGTATATTGTCCTCACAGAGCCCTTCTCAAAGGAGCACTTGACTGTGGCTCTGGACTGGCATGAAAGGAGACTTTGTCTCATGAGTCATCCCCCCCACCCACCATCCATCCAGAACCTTGAAGACCTTGACCCCTTGCGCACAGAGCCAGAGCTCCTGGCATTGCTGCCACAGAGACCTGGTAGCTGTCCCTGATACTGCTGGTTTCAGGTCAAGTTCACGCTGCCCTCTTTGACTTCTGAGAATCACAGCCACTGCCCCCGCCCACCACCTCCGTTTGGCAGGGGATGGCAAGGAGATGTGGGTGCTAGGCTTTCAGGAGAAGGGGCTTGTCCCAGGACAGGTATACACCTGTCCTCACGTGTGCATAAGTATGAATCAGCCCGTCCCACAGGATCTCAGAGCTGATCCAGAAACCGCCAGATATCCCCAGCCCCCTGCCCCATAGACAATCTTTTCCTTTGGCAAATGAAGGATTCAGGCCCAAGGGGGCACAGCGTCCCCTCAGGATCACACAACAAATTGCAGCTTAAAGGGAATCCAAATTCCATCCCCCAACCCCAGGCCTGGGTTAGGACTCCTCAGGGGGCTACACTGGCTCTCGGCCATCTGTGTGGAGCAGGTGATGTTACCGGGTCTGCAGTATCCATGACCCTCAGGTGGATGGGTTGGTGGTCCACAGTCTCCTCCGAGCTGTAGGTATCCTCTGTAACACAAACAGGCAGCTGGGTCAGAGGTTTCAGCTCTCACCCTCATGGGGGATGCGGCAGGACCTTCCACCTGCAGGGCTCAGAGCACCAGAGCCACTCAGCATGGCCCCAGGATACAGAACCACAGGGACAATCACTCTATCCCCAGCCCTCTCCTATGCAATGGCCTCTGAGTAAACCTGACCCTCAGCCTTCCCCAGAGGCCCTTGGCCCCTGGTCACCTCACTGAGCAGAAATGGGGTACTCTCTGCCTTTTCTGGTAGCACCCATGTGAGCAGGCAAACCCAGGTCTGGACATAATGCCAGCAGGGGTGGGCCACATGGAGGTGTAGGAGCTGCACTCCCAGCCTCCCCAAGCCCAGGGCTCTTCCACCTGTTGCTCCCTGGACCACAGAACCTCCCACCCCCCCAAGGGCACGTGCCACATGATGATGGGAAGGGAAGTCAGACAGTCCCCAAGTTTCCCCAAGGTTTTGCAAGCACTTCTTGCCCTTGGGACAGTGCAGCATATCAGAGATGTGGAATTCAAGCAGCTGAGCGACTCATCAGCTGCACAGCTTGACTAAGTCGCCTGGGCTATGAGAGGCCACTTCCTGTTTTAAAACACGAATAGGATGGCAACATGGGCCTGTGACAGGTGAGTGCTGAATGTTTGCTCCTACATTAATTAACTCACTGGAAGGTCCAGCTCTCAGGGCTGTGTGAAGACCTGGTGGGCCCTGGGCATATAGCCAAGTCCACTGTCAAGGCCTGGAAAAGTCTGCCATGTGTTTGGTGCTTCCTAGTCAACAGGGCAGCTTCAGACTCCTGTATGATTTTTTTTTTACAACTTTTTATTCTGGAATACCTTTAGATACACATTGAAGCTGCAAAATAGTAAAGGATTTGCTATGCACTTTTACTTGGCTTCCTCCAAAGCAGATGTCCTATATAATCACAGTACAATCAGCAAAGCCAGAAATGGAGCTGGCTAGCATACCATGAGCTAAATGAGGGACCTTATTTGGACTTTGTGAGCCATGGCTATGTTGTTTTTTCCAAATCTTAAGATATCCAACCTGAGAAAGCAGGAGGTGGCCAGGAGACAGGCCAAGAGGACCTCATCAGCACCCTGACAACCATTCTCCCTGCTGCCACCTTTCACCTGTGCCATGTGCCCACATGCATGAGGGTACTTGGTCCTTGCCTTTTCTCTGAGGTTCTCTCTATTCCATGTTACTCACCTCCTGGGCAAACCTGGGCATGTTCTCTGCCTTCCCAGCAGCACCCATTGGGATGGGAGCAGCCTCACAGCCAGCCAAGTTCACAGTCAAACTCTCTCCTCCGAGGGCCACTAGCCGCCAAGCCAGGCCCTGGATGCCCTCCAGATCCACTAGCCTCCAGCATGAATCACAGACAGGCTCTCATCCCCAGTCCCTTTGGGGACTTGGATAAATAGCTGCTCTTATGCAAAGACAAAAAAAAAAAAAAAAAACCCTAATGGAAAGTATGCCCCAAATGTTGAACTATATTTGGTCCAAGAAGAGCTGCCCCTAGATGTCTCCATCTTGTTCAGATTTGTCTTTGTTTCCCTGCCAAGGCTGGCTGAGCTCCCTTATACTTGCTTCCCTCCAGAGGTGCAGGGTCCTGGCCAGCCAGGCTCCAGGGTCCTGCCACATCTTCTGGCACCATGGCCCCTTCTGTTGCCATCGGTTCCTTGGCCGAGAGAACAAGGCAAGGCCCAGAGCACAAGGGAACCCATCCCAGGCCACTCAGCACCCTACCAGGCAGAGGATCACCTGGGTAGGCTGATACCCCCTGAGGACTCCCTTCTGCAGGAGCCCCAGTGAGATCAGTGGGTCTCCCGATTCCTCCACTCCCCCGCATGGAGGGAGAGGGAAGGGCAGGAGCACTCATTCCTCCTGGGGATTGGAATACGGACAACAGGCTGGAAGGAGCCACAGAGATCATCCTGGCCAGCCTCCCCTCCCACACCAAAGCTTCAGAGTCTGGGGCTAAGGGCATCCTGTCCATTACAATAGTGACCCAGCTTCCCATCACTGGCCCCACCTCACGGTACTGCTGAAGGGCTTCCTTACTTCTCCTTCTAGTTAACACTCTGTGCACTTGCATGGGAAAAGAGTGGCTTCCCATGTTCTTTATGGTAATAATAATGTTTTAAGGTACCAAACATCTCATATCAGAGTGCTGGGTTCAAGTACCGGTTGCTCTACTTTTAATCCAACTCCCTGCTAATGCATCTGGGAAGGTAGAGGAAGATAGTTCAAATCCTTGGGCCCTTGTCATCCATGTGGGAGACCTAGAACAAGTTCCTGGCTAATGACTTTGGCCTGACCCAGCCCCAGCTATTACAGCCATTTGGGGAGTAATTCAGTAGATGGAAGAGCTCTCCCTCTCTCTCTCTCTCTCTGTATCTCTCTTTCCCCACAACCTTTCTGACTTTCAAGGAAGTAAACAAAGAAATCATTTCATTTGTTTATTTCAAGGAAGCTCTGCTCTGACAGTGTGATGCCTCAAACATGTTGTCTCCTTAGTTAAGAGGAATGAGGGCAAGAGAGGTGAAAGCTGGAGTTTCTCCCAGCCACGCCAGGAGAGATGCTTCCAGTCCTTGTGCGAGAAGACAGCATCCTCTGGGAGCCTCCACCCTCTCCCCAGGTGCTCAGCACAGACCAAGCCCCACAGACCAGGCATGGATCTCTCACGTCTTTATAATGAATTTTATAGCACAAAAATGAACGGCTCTGTTTCCCCAGTCCCCCTGAAGCTTGCAACTGCTGTGGGGAGGGGAACCCTCCCTGATGGTGGGATGCAACCTCTGAGACATGACCTAGTCTCCCAAAGCATCCAAGGGAAGGGTCTAGCGGACTTCCTAGGTCATATCCTCTCAGGGTGGAATCAGAGATCAGCAGCCATGGTGACTAAGCCCCCCAAGGGGTGGTTCTCTTCCCCCACAACACTCACCCACCCATTCCATGGCAAGGCCACCATTCAAAAATGACTCAATCAGGAAGCTCAACCTATGGCATGGGTTCAGCTGGTGGGACTCTGTGTCAAGGAGAGACACTGGGTGCAGGGAAGAAGGAACTGGAGCCAAGAGATGCCAAGAGGATGCCAGGTCCAAACTTGAGGACCAAGGGACCCTTTCCAGTGCACGCCTGGCCCGTGCAACACTGGATGCCACTGTCCGTGTCCCTTCCCATACATTCCAGCCCATAGCTGCCTACCCACCTCACCCCTGTCCTTAACTCCTCCATTCCAAGTCTGGTACCCACTGTGACTTTACACTACTGCATCCTGTGTCCTGCTATCTGGGGAGGCAGCCTCTGCTCCTCGCAGGGACTCCCCTCAAACCGCTGTGCACTCTTGGCCCAGAGGCCTCATCAGGTGGTGAACAGAGCCAAGGTGCAGGTGTGGAACAAACCACTTGGGGGCTGTTAGCTAGGCACCTCCCCACTCCGTACCTGGCATTTCATTTAAGGTTGCCTTGGAGAAGGGGATTCTGTTACTTTAGGAAAGAAATGCATTTTTAAGGGTCTATTTCCATTGTAAGATTTGCTACTTTTATCTCTAAATCAGTTATTTCTTTGAGAAGCAGACACTTAGAGAGAAGAGAGCCTACTCCCACCCATGGGCTCATTTTCCAAACACCTTTCAATGGCCAATGTCAAAGCCAGGAACCCAGAACTCCAGCTAGACCTCCCACATGGGTAGCAGGGGCCCAATCCCTCAAGTCATCACCATTACCTCCCCAAGTCAGCATTAGCTGGAATCTAGGGTTAACAGAGCTGAAGCTCCACCCCAGTTATTCTAATGTGGGACACAGTGGTCTTAACGGGCATCTTAAATGCTAGACTAAACTCCCGCCCAAGAAGCAGCATTTTTACACCACAAGCCTCAGTATCTTTGGGGATCTCTGCCCCAACACAGTGTTCAACATCTGACTCTGAGTAGAACTGAGGGACCAACAGGCACCACAGGTGACGGGGCGCCTTCCTCCAGATGTGCTGGTGGCATTCCACCTGGGGCCTGCCACAGTGGGGGCAGCCTCCGACTCAGGTCAGAGTCCTGGGTTTCCTTGGAGGGTCACTGGGAGAAAGTTGTTGTGAATTTGAGGGAAAAAGGAACCCAAGGGTACAACATCTTTTATTCAAAGAGCAAGCTGATTCAGAGGCCCCTTCCTCGGTCTTACTCATAACCAAGCTGGGTTCCAGCATGAGCCACAGGTGCTCATCCAATTTTGCTTCTATTCACTTTCAATGTGAGGGTTCCATGGCAGAGGTTTTTAAGGAAAAGGTCTTGCTGCTTAAGAATAATTTTTATAAACACTGATCTGGCTCATCTAAGGGGTTTTCAGCCACCACACACCGGAAGCCAGCTGAGAGAAAGAAAAGTCAACATGCATTGAGTGTCTACTGTGACCAAACCTTCTGCCTCTGATAATTCCTTACATCCTCATGGTCATTGGCTGAAGTCTCTTCTAGCCATTTCACAGGTGCTAACAAATAGCTCAAAGAGGTTAGCTGAGTGGCATTAGAGTTATACAGTCAATATTTGGTACAGTTAAGAGTTATATTCAGCTCTGATCAGCACCAAAGCACGTGTTTCCCAAAGGACCATGATACAGCTAAAAAAACAAAAAGAAAAAAAAAAAAACCCCTGTACGTCTCAAACATGGGACACAGAAGCCAACACTGGAGACCTCCCCAAATGTCTGGCCCAGCATTCCTGGAAAAGAACGCTGAGTGGCTGCATGCAGAACACCACCTATTTGGAGGTGGGCGTCTAGCTTTGCCTGGTTTTCCTATTTTCACCATCAGATCTCATCCATCTTATGTGTTGGGTCAACATGCATCTCTCAATTCTCTGAATCGAGCCACGTCCAGGTGATCTCGAGCAGCCTGTGGAGGGGTATTTACAGCCCTTAAAACATTTTCCCAGGGCAAGCATTTGGTACCACAGTGAGCATTACCGCTCAGGAGCCCTGCCTCCTATATGTCAGCGCCTGGGCTCAAGTCTTGGCTCTGTTCCTGATTCCAGGCTCCTATGGATGCCCTGGTGTCGGCCCAAGCATCTGGGTCTCTGTCAACCACATGGGAAACTTGGACCAAGCTTCCAGATCTTGGCTTAATCCTGGATCGACTGTTGCAGGCATTTGGGGAGTGAACCACCAGATAAAAGATCTCTCTCCCTCTCTACCTTTCAAATACACTTATCAACAAATACATTAAAAAAAATTTTTTTTCCCTCCATGGGCAAGGTCACCCCTGGTTGCTGCTCCCTTCTGGTTAGCCCTGAGGTGCCCCACGTAGGGCCCAGGCAGGTCCCAGAAGTGGTTACTTACCCAAGTTGGGGTCATACTCGCTGATGAACCTCTTGGTCAGAAACTTCACTGTCAAGGCTGCAAGAAACAGAGAGCTGTTGGCTGAGTCTCTCCAGGGCACCCCAGGCAGCTGGCCCCTGGACCCGCCCCGCTCATGTTTACCAGGCCTTTCTTAGTTTGCAGGTTCCCAAAGCTGACACCAAGCTCAGCTCTTTGAGGAAATAAAGTGGGGTGGCTGAGAAGTCGGTTTGAAGGACCCCAATGACGTCAGGTGACTGCAGAGCCGAGTCCTTATAGGTGTACTCTGGTTTGACTGGTTTCTGTTTTTCTCATGGCAAGAAAATCAGTGAGACATAAACTTAAAAGGGGTGTCTGTGAACTTGTACTTGGGGGTCAGTCCAGACTCAGGGAGCCAGTTAGGATCAACCTGGCAAGAGTCCAGCAAAACAAACAAACAAACAAACAAACAAAAACAAATAAACAAAACAAAACAAAAAAACCCAGCCTGGACAAGCCTGGTGGGATTCTGATGAGGGGGCAGGGGCAGGATCCAGCCAGATAGGTCGGTGTCCCGGGGCAACATGCCCTGGGCCCCCTGCTCCACATCTCCAGTCTTGGCGTTCTCCGAGGCCTCTGCTCTGGCCATGGGGCCCCAGCAGAGTGCTGGCCTTTAGAACAAAGTCCTTCCTGTGGAATGCTCTGATTTTTTTGGTCTAGGGTTTGAGCAGAGGAGGGCAAGGGCTAGCTGACCATCCCGGCACTCTTTCCGTGTCAGGCAACATAGTCAGGCAAATCCTTAAAATTCTTTCCTAGGATTCCTAACAAGGTCGGTTTGCAAAGTAACACCCAGGGAATACATATTTTAGAACTGAAATTTCTCCATTTAAAGTAGTCGCTGGCTTCACAGAGCTACGAAGTGCAAGTTGATTTCCACTGGGAAGGGGGCAAATCTTTTAGGTAGGAAAATCCAGGATTGCAGAGTCCCTCCTCTGAAACAAGGGAACCCTCCAACCTTTCCCAGGGAGAGGCACAAAGTATTCCCCCCAGCCTGGGGTGGGGAGGATGGACTGCAGGAAACCCCTAGCCAAAGGAACCCCCTATGTCCGCCAGCTGTTAGAGACCCTGCATGGCAGGTGGGTGGGCAGACCCTTGTTTCTGGCTTCTCTGCCTATAGGGACAATGTCCCTTCTCCACCCCTGGGTGACAGCTGCCAGGAGCAGGGAAGGCAGCGGTCAGTGTTGGCAGAAGGCATCTTAGCATTGGAAGCCCTGAGAGTCTGATCCACTAAGGACAAGTTGGAGCCACCTCTGCATCCAGGATGGCAAAAAGAGTGTGTGTGTGTGTGTGTAGGGGGGGGTGCCTTGAAGCATCTGATTAAAGCTAGGTGGTGTGCTCAGAGTCCCAAGAGACATGGGGACAAGGGGTGGGAGGAGTGGGGCTGCACCTTTGGGTGGGGGGTTGATTCCAAACATTTGTGGCCTCTCATCAGTCATCCCACCCACCTCTCATCCCCGCACCGGATTCTCAGGGAATATAATTCCAAGGCTCCAAGAGGCTCCCAGCAGGGTCGTTGGTGCCAGGAGGCGGGGTGGGGTGAAGGTGGTGGAGGCAGGAGAGAGGAGCAGAGAATTGGGGGGTGAAGGGGACAGAGAAGGGGAGAGAGGTGCGGGGGTCCCAGGCACAAGGGGCAGCAGACAGTCGGGGGAGCAGAAAAGAGATCCCAATGATGGAGAAACTGAGGCAGAGGAGCTAACCACGGCTCCCCCAGACCCATCTAGTGAAAAGTGCAGGAGAGGACCCGATCCCCGCCGTGCCCTGCCCCAGTGCCCAGACTTCAGTCCCCTCTCACCCCCGACCGTGCCACTCACCGGACTTGCCGGCCCCTCGGCGCCCCAGGATGGCCAAGTTGACTTCAAGGGGCGCGCTGTGCGCCGCGCTACCCGCGCGGGGCTTCCCGAACACGGAGGTCATAGCGACGCGGCGGCAACGACCCGCGTCCCCAGCCCCCCGAGAAACGCACGCGGGATCCCCTGCGCTGGCGGACCCCAGGAGCCGAGCGCCCAGGCGGCCGCGCCCCCGCTGCCCCGGCCGAGCGGCGGGAGGAGGAGGAGCAGCCGGCCGGCGGGCGGGGCGGCGCGGGGCTCCGCCGGCAGAACTCCTTGTAAGGGCCGCGGGGGCCGCCCGGCGCCGGCATGCTCCTCCCGGGCCCTGCCGGCCAGCAGCGTCCCCGCCTCGGGGCTGGGCCTCGCACACCAGGCTGGGCTCTTCCAGCCCCTCTGGGAAGAGCCAGACACTGTGAGTCCCGGGCGGTAACGGTGGGAGGTAGAGGGAAGTCGTTCCCGACTTGACCAAAGAACATCCACTCAATCTCTTCCCACCAGCAGGAAACTTACCCCTCTGCTTTCCCACCAAGCCTGCCTCCTCCTCCAGGAAGCTTCCAGGGTTCATATTCTGCCTTGCCCTCTCTGGGCGCTGGTGTGGGGTATCACTGCAGAACTCCAGCTTGTTGGAGGACTGTGCGGAGGGCCCCTCACTAGGATTTCCTAGCCAGCGCAGGTTCACTTTAGACCCAACCCGTGCTGGCGGGGTGCCTGCCATTTCTTCCTGAGGGAGTTCCCTTAGTGGCAAATGTTTGTGGCTTGTTGTATAGATGGGGTGTTGATTTTGAAACCCACCCACCCTCAACCCCCGCTTGCCTACAAGTGTTCCCTGTAAGCCTGACAGGACTCACCTACTCACATCCCTTGGGTTGAACACAGTTGTGCCGGAGACAGGGCAAGGGCCTCCCCTCCTGCTGCCCAGTCTCCTAGGATCTGGTACCTTCCTTGAGGTATCAGTGGGCTTGTGTACAGGAAGGACAGGTGGGTCTTGTCGCTGCTTGGGACCCAGCTCCCTGATAATGAACACCCTGGTTGGTAGCAGAAAAAGTACTTGGGTCCCTGCCACCCATGTAGAAAACCTGGATGGAGTTCTGGGCTCCTGATTTTAGCCCGCCTCAGCCCCAGTTGTCACAAGCAAGTGGAAACCGAACCAGTGGAAGACAGATCATTATGTATCTTTTTATAAAAAAAAAATTATTTGCTTTTATTGGAAAGATAGATTTTTGCAGAAAGATCTTGCACCTGTTGGTTTGCTCCCCAAATGGCAGCAATGGCCAGAGTTGAACTGATCTGAAGCCAGGAGCCAGGAGCTTCTTCCAGATCTCCCACATGGATACAAGTTCCTAAGGCTTTGGGCCATCTTCCACTGCTTTCTCAGGCCAGTAGCACGGAGCTAGCTGGGACATGAACCATAGCCCATATGGGATGCCAGTGCTTACAGAATAAGCCAGTTGAGCCATCACACCAGCCCCTCCATCTTTCAAATAAGTACAAAAAGATTGATGTGGACAGAAGAGAAAAGGAAACGTGAAAGTCCATGATGTGACTCGGGACTGGTAGAAAGACAGCATCAGCCCTTCGCCCCATGCCTCACCACCTTCTAGGACCTAGCACGCCTTACTTTTGGAATGCATGTCAGGCTCAAGCAGGGAGGGGTACGGGAGCCTCAGAACCCCTCTTTGCATCCTTTCCCTCCTCTTTCCCACCCACTTATCCCCAAGAGAAGCCAAGGAAGTTCAGCCCAGCAGGCAGAAGTTCAGGGTCAGGACTGGACAGTATCGTCCCACTGAGCAAGAAGGGAAGCAGGGTGGGTGCTTCTGGGAGAGCATGATAAAACCACAGTTTTAGGAAAACTCTGGGTCCGGGGTGGGGGGGTGGAATAAGCTTAAATGGCGCCCTCAGGCCAGAAGCCCTCACACAACAGCTAACAGCCTCTGGTTTTCTTTAAGAGAAAGTGGGAGCCAAGTTTTAGCCACTTCCTGGTGCTGGCCCTGGGAAGAGAGTCTGGACAGAGTGTGCAGAAGAACAAAGCTTGTTGGAGTACGGCTGGAGGGAGGGCGAGCCGGGGACCTGCACAGGTTCAGCTGCGGAAATCTGACCTGGCCACATCCTGGTGTGTGTGCTGATGGGGACAGGGGGTTGTCAGCACCTGCTTGTTCTCGGGGTCCTCGTCTTCCCAACCCAGGCCAGGCCGGTGTTCAGCATGGTGGGTGAGATGCCTCTTGGACAGCCCACATCCCGTATCCAGATGTTTGAGTCCTGCTTCCGGCTAATGCATAACCCAGGGGTGGGGGCAGCAGGTGATGGCTCAAGTGCTTGGATCCTGGCCACCTACATAGGGATACCAGACTGGAAGAAAAAAAATTATTGATTTATTTGTCAGAGTTACATAGAGAGGAGACACAGAGAGACTCTGTCATCTGGTGGTTTGCTCTCCAGGAGCCTACAATAGCTGGAGCTGGGCCAGGCCAGAGTGGGGAACCGTGGCCTTTCATATGGGTGGCAGAGGCCTAAGGATCTGGGCCTTCTTTTGCTGCTTTTCCCAGGCCATTAGTAGGGAGCTGGATGGGAAGTTGTATGAGATGCCAGTATCACAGGCTGCTGCTGCTTTTTATTTATTTATTTATTTTAAAATTTCTTTATTTTTATTTGAATTGGCAGGCACACACAAGAATCAGGTCTGGGATTACCTTAGATGAAGTTTCTTTGGCCTAGTCTCAGCTGCTGCAGGCATTTGGGGAGTCAACCAACAGAAGTAGGATCTGTGCCTCTTTCTTTTTCTCCACCTTTCAAATAAATTTTAAAAGTAAATAAATAAATAGGCATACTATTAAGGATTAGATATGAAACTGTCTCACATGCAGATTGTCCCACAACTCAAAAAAGCAAATGCTCGCCCCCCACTCCTGCAGACATGAATGGCACATACTCCACACACCCTGACAGAGGAATTTGGGCCCTCATGCTCAATTTTTTAAAAATATTATTTATTTTTTATTTTACTGCAGCGCTGGACTCAGACCCCAGCTACAGGGAAAAATCACAGGGGGGACATGACAGGCAGCTCAAGTAGGTCAGCAAGGACTGTCTACTGTCTACTGGGCTACTGGTACTGCAGTTAGAGGATGGAAAGCAAAACAGGTTGGACAACTCTTTGTAGCGAAGCTTTGCAATAGGTTCCTAGGTTTGTGGATGCACTGAGGTGGACTTTGTCAACCAATAGACCTTGGAAAGATTTTCTCAATCCTGGTGCAACAAAGTCAACAATGTCTCAAATAACACCCTCAGAACACTTTTTAACACTCTTTCCCACTTCGGGGTGTCTAAGGCATCATCAATTGACTGTCTCCTAACCCGAGGTGCTGATGTAGTTTGACAGCAAGGAGTGGCTCTCTCCCTCTCCTCTCCTGCAGATACAGGAGAAAAACAAGAATAACAAACAAACATCTGTCCCACCATCTTCTGTTATACCTGACCCTCTTCACCCTAATCAGAGGCTCCCATGGGTGTGCATTCCTCTCAATTAAATAGGCAATATTCAAAAGAAAATTGGGCTTGATGTGATGGCCCAGTGGCTAAATCTTCACCTTGCAACTACTGGGATTACATACGGGTGCCAATTCTTGCCCCGGATGCTCCACTTCCCACCCAGCTCCCTGTCTGTGGCCTGGGAAAGCAGTAGAGGATGGCCCAAAGTCTTGGGACTTTGCACCCATGTGAGAAACCCAAAGAAGTTCCTGGCTCTTGGCTTTGGATCAGTTCAGCTCTGGCCATTGTGGTCACTTGGGGAATGAACCAATGGATGAAAGATCTTTGCCTCTCCTTCTCTCTGTAAAATGCCTTTCCAATAAACTTAATTAAATAGTTAAAAAGAAAAGTAAAAGTTAAAAAAAAAAATAAAGGCAGAATCACATAAAGAGAATGAGCAAAAGAAAGATCTACTCTGGTTCACTCCTCAAATGGCTACAATGGCCAGGCCTGGCTGGTCCAAAATCAGCAGCCAGGAGCTTCTGGCCCCAGTGCTCAGTTCTTCTGACTTCACCACAAGGCTCTTATGAGGGCAGAGGCACAGCACTGAGCCCTACAGTGGGAGCATGCAGCAGGTGCTCAACAGCTGTCCTGGAATGATCAGGTGGGACATGTACAAGTCTAGACATGGAGGGCCAATGAGGTGCTCCAGGAGCCACTCCACAGGAAGCCAGGTTTCTGGAAAGTCTTAGTTAAGTTGATGGCTTCCCTAGAGAGCCATTGTGAAATCATGTCTGTGGGCTTGCAATGTGAAGTGCAGATGTCAAAGCGAAACAGAACCTAACTCCACAGCCTTCTAAGTGAACAAACGAGGTTTGGCAAGGTTGGCTCACTTTTGCAAGTGAGTGTGGTACCGGCGTTCAAAGCACACACAGCCATCTGGACTCCTAGCCCAGTGCTCTTCCTCAGGTCCAGGCAGCGCAAGTGACTGTCCAGCCTATCAGTGCCTGTGGGAACACCACTGAGGATGGAAAGAGCAACCAGTCTCCCAGGGCAAGGGCTGGGTCTCTCCTGGCAATGTTAGGACTCTTACACTTACTTACTTGTCTTACTCTTACACTTGACAGATTCCTGCTGTTGCCTGTCATTGTGGTTGGGCTGGGGTAGTGCTCCAGAGAGCTGCAGTCTGAGCTGACTCCTCCCCTGGTTCCTACTCCCAGCCCGGAACGGAGTGGGAGGCTGATGTGGGGTCGGCCAGGGCCTGGGAAACTCTGTGGGCTGCCCACAGGCAGGCTAGTTCCTTGTCTTCTCCAAGTCCCAGAGGGACACTCAGCCTCCAGGAAGAGGAAGCTCTCACCGCAGGCAGCCTCCGGCTAGGCCTGGGGGTACTTAGCCTAGCCTCAGAACCACAGTCCCACCGGAGGACCCTTCCCCACCGCCCAGCTGCTGGAGATGGAAAGTGGGCGGTGCACGAGCCCCAGCCAACTCAGGCCAGGGCTGGACTTGGGGAAAATCTGAGAGCTCAGGAACCAATAAGCAAGTGAGCTTCAGTGGGGGAGTGGTTTACATTCTTTGTGCCTCTTGCTATGGAATGGTTCCATCTGGATGTGCCTGCTAGCATCT